ATTAGATTGTTCTCTGTTGTCTCCTTCTCTTGCAATGTGATTATTGTTCATAAAGCTTGCTCCTTTTGATTGAATATGGTATTGTTGATGCAAATGGTTCACTTGATGGCTTGATATCTCATTATATGCATGGTTCGCTTATTTGGTTTGATAGTTTAGCTTGGTCTATGTTTCCTTTGTTCAGTGACACCAAAGTGTTAGTTGACCTTGCTAGATGATTCGCTTAGGGCTATATAGTGTTGGGTATAAGGTTCTTTCTTGATGGTTAGATAGTATGCATTGAAAGATCTTGCCTTTGTTTGATTTCTTCTCATTGCTTTGCATTGTTAGGATTTCGAAACTGTGTGCTTAAGTCCATATTCTTGAATGGTGTTTAGCTACCTAGGTCCCTATATAGTTTACAAGATTGATAGGTTGATCTGAAATTTTGCTTTGGTGAGAGTTTTTTACTTGCTTAGTATTTCTCTTAGGCTAGAATTTTCTGATCCTTATGCTCATGGTTGAAGAATATGCCATCACAAGTGAGTTTGACACTTCAATCTTATTGAATATGAATTTTTTATTGACGCCAACCTGATTCCTTTTAGATACCTTGTCTAGGAGTATAATATTGAGATTTGCTTGCTTATGAATGCTTGATGTTTTCCCTTTGCTAGAAATCCTCTTTATCACACTTGAAGGCCACTAATCTCATAATTGCTTAGAACCTTAGATTCTGCTTTTAATTAGTTGTTTTAATATCATCTTGCTTAGTTATCTTTTCTAGTTTAAATTCAGTCTTCATCTTGCTTAGAATTGCTTAAGTTGTCTTTCTCATTTAGTTCTTGTTTAGTTCTTGCTTTGATTTCATTGCTTAGTCTTTATTTACTTGCATTTGATTTCTCCTTTCTTTTTATTGCATCGCTAGGTTGTTAGAGTTACTATTTCATAAACAAAATCCCCAACCTTGCTTAGCTTCCAGAATTGTTTGTATCTCAATATCCACAAGTGTGTTTGACACTAAGTCCCTATACTACAACTGGTTTGAGGATTAGGATTACTCTGAAGTTTAACAAGGGCCTCAAAAACCCTTGCTTCAATTTGGCGCTGGTACCATTTGTGGATTCTTTGAGTTTAACATTTCTGTTAGACTAAGTTCTTTTCATTACAGTTTCTAATTTGCTTAGTTTTCTTTGCTCTGTTTTTTCAGGTACTTATATGAATTTCAGATCTAAAGACTCATCAAATCTGACTCCTTCTAGTGACAACATCCATAGAAGAAGAGCTGTAAGACAGAGAGTTCAAGAGTTGGAAGAACAGAGAGTGACAGAGAAAGAAGCTCAGTTACCATATGTTGGTGTTGTGGAAAAGGCACCTTTACAACAAGCTGCAGCAAATATGGATGAGGCACAAGATGCTTTGAACCAAGCGGCTGGAGTTCAAGGGTTGAGAGTACCAGTTCATGCACCTAGAGCTGCAAGACTTATAGGAGCTGGTGATGCGCCTGATACTCACCACAACAGGAATGGAATTCATGCTCCAGCTGTGCACCAAAACCACTTTGAGATCAAGCTTGGGTTAATCAACATGGTGCAAGACAACATATTTCATGGTCTGCCCAATGAAGATCCTTTAGACTATTTAGATCAGTTTGATAAAGTGTGTGGTATGACCAAGATTCAAGGAGTTTTTGAAGATGCTTTGAAGCTGTCTTGTTCCCATTCAGTCTAGGGGACAAAGCACATAAGTGGGAGAAGACACTTCCACAAGGCACTAATCCCATAATTGCTTAGAACCTTAGATCTTGCTTTTAATTAGTTATTTTAAAATCATCTTGCTTAGTTATCTTTGCTAGTTTAAATTCAATCTTCATCTTGCTTAGTATTGCTTAAGTTGTCTTTTTCATTTAATTTGCTTTGATTTCATTGCTTAGTCTTTGTTTACTTGCATTTGATTTCTGCTTTTTTTTATTGCATTGCTAGGTTGTATGAGTTACTATTTCATAAACAAAATCTCCAATCTTGCTTAGCTTACAACATTATTTGTATCTCAATATCCAAAAGTGCGTTTGACACCTAAGTCCCTGTACTACAACTGATTTGGGGATTATGATTACTTTGAAGTTTAAAAAGGGCCTTAAAAACCCTTGTTTCACACGTTCTGACTGCTTACGGCCAAATCAGATACCCCATGGCTGGTCTCGAGCCTGCTGTATCGACTGAGTTTGAATAGCTTAAACTGAAGTCCTTTGACCGTTTAGGTTTCTTTCTATCTTTCTTATCATTCCAAAGTATAAAAATACTTGTTAACCTCTTTCAAAATGCGTGCATCATGTTCTGGCCCTAATTAAGGGGTATTACATTCTCCCCTCACCCCGTTATTAAAATTTGTCCCAAATTCTTAATGGTCTGAAAGTCCGGACTCCTGATCTGTTTACATGAACAACTCAGGATTAGATACTAGAAATTTCTCTTCATCTTCCCCTGTAAACACAAGTCGATGTTGCTAGGGGATGTATGTTTATCTTCCAGGGTGAACTTCATCTCATGGGTTTGTCCACCGGGGGATGAGTAGCATCCATGTAACCAGATGATTTGTCGTCCACCTGAAATTAACTTAGTAAACGATGAGATGGCCTCAAGGAGGAAAGGAAATGGTTTTCCCTGCCAAATGTTCTCTGACACCAAGTCAGGAACACCCTACCGGGAAAACAATACTGAAGAGGGTAGGTTTTTGGTGGGTTTCGAGGTGGAGTACTACATCTCTCCAGGGATAATAGTCGTTTGTTGCTTAGTGGCAACTGGTACAGTCATGAGTCGCCGAGAGAGTGGGGTTAGAACTCTGTTATGACTGGCATGATATAAAAGAAAGATGATCATACATCCTATGGCATGTTAATGAGAAAATGCCCGGGAATGGCTGTAGTAAGTCAGAAACGTCAAGTAATAGTTCTTAAACAAGCCAACCGAGGGGATTAAGACCAGATGATATCCTTGCCGCTCATTGGTCAGTCATCCTCTATTTTCGGTGTTGGAAACATTTCTTATCAGATTAGCTTTTCAGATAGTAGTGTCTCATATATGGCGGGAGCAAAACGCTAAGAGACATCGAACAAGTTGGATGGGTGGTCCACAATTATCCGCATGACTTATAAAGCAACAAGAAATAGAATATCCTCCCTGAAGAATATTGTGCTGCACAAGTTGGAAGGGCTTCGACGAGTGGTTTGAGATCTGTAGGCTGATGTAGAATTTTCCCTTACCGTTTCCGTGTCTTTTTTTACAATACTCTAGCAATTCTTTTGTAAATATTTTAAGATGATCAATATATTAGAAATATCATTAAAAAAAACAAGTGTAATATGTAAAAAACAAATATGGTATAACATGACAATTATTTTTATTAAATTATTTATAAACGATAAAAACATATATAGATTACATACCCAAACAGCAATAAACATGTCAAACCATAACAAATTCTAAAACAAAAACAAATCTACTTATATATTGAAATTTAAATTAATTAAAGAGTTTATTATATGTTTTGATGTTTAAAAGTACGTCAAAACATATTAGAATTATTGTTCTTAAAGTTGAGCTACCCTCAGAGAATTGTCGTTCCTGATTTTGTTATTTTTATTGTTTACTTTCTCTTTTGGACGTATCAGTATTTTCTTCACTATGTTGCAAAATTCACTACTCATAAAATTAAATATTTTCATTAATAAGTTTTCAAGCATTCATATCGATAGAGATAAAGATAGAGAAGAGAGAGAAAAAGATAAGTGGGAAGAAATGTACGGCCATGGATCATCTCCAACCAGCATCATATCTTCTTCATCATCTGTGAATAGTATTTCCTATTGATAAGGTATACGCAATTTTCCTTTAAGATCAAAGAGTTTCTCTAACTCATCAACTCACTGTATCCACCAAGAACACTTAAATCCATTGTTCTCTTTATGGCTATACTTGCATTTGAACCTATTCAAAAATGATATCATGAACATGTGAACTAATCAGTATTGTCTCAATTTATTGAAAAACTTCATTCAAATTTCTTACTATATATTTAATATATTGTAATATTTCAATATATATATATATTAAATTGGATCTATTTTGTTATGTTAAAGTCGCACATACAAAAAAAACAGTTTTAGAACTCATTGATATTATATATAAATAAAATGGTGATATTTTTTCATACCTTGATACGACTTATATGAGAGTTGATTTGCTTGTTTTTGTTTTTTCTTGGTGTTTTAAAACCTTTGGCTTGGTCTAGCTTTTTTTCTTCACAGATTTTAGAATTTTCTGAATTTTCGTTTGAGTCAACTAGCCCCACAGAATCTTTTGAGTTGGTGGGAGCCACTAGATCCACTCCAAACAATTTGTACCCAGTGGTTGTGCCAACGGTTTTTGTGGTTGGGACTGAGTAATTCATTAGCCAACCAGATGAAATTTTAGAATCATCGACTGATTCGCGATAACTAAGTTGAGGAACATTTGTCAAAGCATTCATGCTTGATTGGCCAATTTCCTGGCCTCGAGTTAGTGTAGGAGTCCAAAAATTGGAACCTATGTATAGAAATATAATAAGAAAAATTTCACAAAGAAGCTTTCACTTACTGAAAAATGCTGTCTTACCAATTTCAACAAGTTGACCTTGATGTTTGTTCATCAGCAATGATGATTCAAGAACACTTGATGAAGGTGCTAAAAGTTCAATCTCCTATGATAAAATTCTATTAGTTATTTGAATTGATGCAGCTTCATCCCATTGCACCTAGAAAAATAGAAGCTTATTATTTTTTTAGAAATATATTCTAAAACAATGAAAGAATATAGCTAGAGGGATTCTTACTTTTAAGTTTCGTCATTCGGAATTCCTCCAATAAGAAGAGAAATCTTCTATGTTTGTAATCTTTCTAAAGTATCTTTTGCAATGAAAAAAAATTTGTTTTTAATAAACATATTTTAGTAATAACAAACAAGAAAATTATTCAAGTTTTACCTTTTTTCATTAAAATCATCATCTTTAAACAACATGGTAAATTTTGTATCTACACTGAATTTGTTGTTCACTGCATCTAAATTTTTTTCATAACCTACAATGAACTGGCTTGACCTATGCATAGCAAGAACCAAAATATCAGTATATTTGTTGAAAAAAACTAAATACATGATGTTTTAAATCAATTAACAAAGTGTTTTTTTATTACCTTGGCTTATAGAGCATAATAAACATACATTTGTTATTCATAGCATTCTTTGCAGAAGCTATTACTCCCTGATGCATACTATGTGAAGAAATAACTAATGAAGGTATGTTGCCTTCTCGATTAGCTACTCTTCTAGTTCCAATTAGTGTCTCCCCATTTTATCCTCTTAAAAACAATATTCAATGTCTAAAATCCAAGAAACAAAAAAAAGTAAAAAAACAAAAATATATACCTAAGAATAATAAAATAGTCTCAAGCGACCAATTATTTTACGGTCACAAATGCATTCCAACCAGTTGTGAAAAGATGTATACGCAGTGTACCTACTTAATGATTTACAAAAAATCAAGATCAGTAATCGCAAAGTCTGATATGAAAAATATTTATTACCTCTAAATATATGTTTAAATCTCCATTCACGACCATGCAGATCTTTGGCAACTATTTCTTGAGTTGGTATAGGATGAGACATATCCTACAAAACAATTCAATAAAATAAAACAACTATATGTAAGCTTACAATTCGAGTCAAAACAATAGTTCATAAAGTCGAGAAAGTAAGTCTAAATACCAAAAGGGGAAGACATTCAAGAGCATGCTTTTTGGAACCGATAATCCACCATGTGGATTTGTATCAGAAGCACTTAAAACTTTGATGAAATAATAAAATTGTGGGTTTTCTTGATTTTTAATTGGAATAGGGGTTCCAACTTCCTATAAAAATTAGAAATAAAAAATTCATTTGATAGAGATTAGAAAAAATATAGATAAAAAATATAAATTAATTTTATAAAATTTGCCACTTACAATAGTATTTGACAGCCTTCAGCATACAATTCATTTGTATAATTTTCTACCTAATATCAAACATAAAATAAGTAACAAGATTTTTTTTGATGATAATATATTTTCTAAAGTTGAAAAAATAGTACCAAAAAGATATACCTTTAGCTGAATTCCAATAACATTGCATGGAATCTTTGAAGGAATATCAAAAAGTGGCTGCATTTGGGCAAACTCACTATTTGTAGATATCTCAAGCTGAGAATGTCATCAGATTATAGAAAAAAAACTTAACAAGCCAAGATAGAGGAATGGGAGAGAATATAGAAGGGTACATGAAGAGAAACTAACTTGCTGTATATATCCTTGAGGAAAGTAATAAACTCTTCCTCCAAGTTTTGGAAGATCAAACAAAGGTCCAGCACATAACCTCCATAATTCATTATACAAATAGCTTTTGGTTTCATTGACTGCTAAACAAACAAATATTATCGTGAAAAAAATGCTTTTAAAAATAAAAACTATATTCAATTTTGTTCTCTTATACCTAAAAATCCAGGTTGCGCATTCATCTCTTGATTACTCGCCATTGACTCTTATGCCAACACTGGCCTTGAACTTTCACCTTCGATATGAGATCATTTTAACACAAAAATACACCGTTTTTTATTTTAATTTTTCTTACATGATGTTGTAACTCAAAAATTTAAAGAAATTTTAATAAATTTGCATAATTAAGTTCTAAATTATTTTCATACATTTAAAAATACTTTTGACATTTTCATATAAGTTTTTCTGTGTAATATGTTAAATATGATGGTTTATGGTTTACCACTATATGATAGATAAAAATATGCTTATATTTATTTTAACATGTAAGAAAATGTGCATATATATAGTGAAAAATAATTTGGTTTATAATTTGAAATAAAATCGTCAAATATAAAATATGAATGAAAGCATAGATGAAAATGTCAAGGCTAAAATATGCTTTCATTCCTATTTTATATTTGACGATTTTATTTCAAATTATAAACCAAATTATCTTTCACTATATATATGCACATTTTTTTACATGTTAAAATAAATATAAGCATATTTTTATCTATCATATAGTGGTAAACCATAAACCATCATATTTAACATATTACACAGAAAAACTTATATGAAAATGTCTCACCTTTGTTGTACGAATGGTCAGAACTTTGTTTAATGAACTAGTGAGAAGTTTTTGATATGCTAAAAGTTATTCAAAAGGAATAAGTTTGTCTTTTTCTTCTTTTTTTTTTTCAAAAAAATATTGATTTGTCATAGATTTGAGACATAGTATATATTTATAGGTGAGACAATAACAAAATTATATATTAATATAATATATTTTTGACTTTTAATTTATGCGAGTTACCAAAAAGGTTTTGTGTTTCTTTTGTTGATTGCTTTGTATTCATATTGTAAATCTGGGTTTATTATTACATATTTAAGCTTATTGTTGTAGATCTGAGTTTATTCTTGCAAATATGCGCTTATTGTTCCATAAATTTTGTATAATTTGTTGCAGATCTGATTTATGTTGTTGCAGATCTGAATTTTTTTTTTTTGCATATCTGAATTTTGTTTTGTGCAAATCTAGAATTTTTTGTTGTTGCATATCTGATTTCTTTTTTTTTGCTGCAGATATGATGTTTGTAAATATAGCAGATTTTGTTGAAATATAAATTTCAATATTTTTTTTTCTTATTGTGCAGACCTGAGCTTATTTATTTTCTTTTTGTTTTGTTGGAAGCATACTTCAACCACAGACTTCTTGAGTAGAGTTCTCGAGCAGACTTCAGTCACCTACATCTATTTCAGACATTTTGTTTTCGTATGCCAATTTTAAGATTTAGAATAAGTGATCCTTAAATGTTTGTTTGTTTAGAAGGTCTACTTTATATGTAAAGTTAGATTGCACTGAATGTTATTTATTATATTATTAAATTATGTGTGTTTATCATATTCAGATTTCATATGCAGACTTCTTTGTCAGACTTTATATGTAGGCTTCTCGATTAGACTTTTCTAATAGACTTCGCAAGTATACTTATATTACATAACATATGGTCATCACCAAACTTCTTCCATGACATTTTACTTAGTCATCACCATCTTTGAACCTCTAATAACATAAGAAATTAATTCAATTTTAACTATACAAAAATATGTAAAACTCATAACAAAAAAAAACATGTAACACTACAAAAAATCATGTGTATTGTATCATTTATTTTATTCGTTAATATTATCTTTTAATTGATGCAAATTTAGTTGCATTATTTAATTAAATGACTAATCATTTATATCAATATTATTAATGCTGCAACTATTTTCATCATTTATATTAATTGATATTAATATATATTATTAACAATAAGTGATATTAATATTTATATCACTTAAAATAAATGATATTAATATTTACATCACTTAAAATAAATGATATTAATATTTACTATCAGTTATAATAAATGATATTATATATTAAAATTCAGAGATATTAAAATTCGTATTAATTTAAATTTTTGTGTTAATTTTTATAAAATTACATATGTAAAATAACTAATAATTTTATATTTATTATTCTAAGAAATGTACATAAATATATACATATGATTTAATATAAAAAAAAATTTAGTGTTGATAAATTTCTTTTATAGAGGAGGAAACTAGTGCTCTTCATCATTCTTAGTAATGTGGGATAAATAGTTGTTTAGTGGAAATTTTATTTGCATCACTTTTATAACTGAAAGAAATATTAGCATCACTTATTATTGATGCTAATGCTAGTTGATCAAATGCTTCACTTATATAATTGATGTAAACTTATATATTTGTGTTATTTTTTCAAAAGTGATATAAATTAATAATAATTTGTATCAATTTTTTTTAATTGATGTTAATCAAGTTAGTATTGGTATCAATTAAAAACTGATGTAAAAGTTTATATCTAGTGTCAACTTTTAATTAGCCATTCTAAATAGAATCAATTATTTTAATGATACTTTATAAGTGATGTAATATACTTTTTCTTGTAGTGTAAAACTACTTAGAAATATCAAAACTAGTCTTTTTTTACACATTCTGTATAAACAATGGGCATGTAAATCATTATCTGTAAGGAAAAAAAATTCAAACCACATTAGAAATAGTTGTCGAAAACGTAGACTGCAAACGAAGTCTACTATGTAGACTTCAAATGAAGTATGCAGACTATTAAGCTAAATACCAAATAAAAGAAGAAAATTAATTAAAGGTAAACTGTAATAACTTTTTTTCTCAAACTCATACATAAGCAAGAACAATAAATATCACACACACAAGAGTCAAATAATAATTTTTTATTTGTTACAAATATCTGATCAATTAAATTTATAAAAAATTAATATCGCACATTTAAAAAATTAATGTCACACATTTAAATTTTTATTTTTTCCAAACGAAGTCTACAGAATAATAAGCTAAACACCAAACAGAATAAAAAATAATAATTAAAATCTAAGCTATAACAAACAAACATGTCAAACTCCTACATAACTAAGAATAATAATTAACACACACTTAAGACTCAATGAATAAATTTTATTTGTTACAAATAACTGATCAATTAATTTTATAAAAACAATTATGTCGTAGACTGCAAACGAAGTCTACGGACTAATAAGATAAGTACCAAATAAAACAAAAAACTTGATTTCACCAAATATATATAACATAAACATGTAAAACTGATACAAATGTACGTACACTTACTAAAACAATCGTAACAAAAAAACATAAAAATTTGTTGTAAATTTGAAAAAAACGAGTTTATAAAAAAAGTGAAATAGTAGACTAACAACGAAGTTTACAAAAGTAGACTAGCAACAAAGTCTACAAATGTAGACTTTGTATGAAGTCTATATTTTATGTTACTTTTGCAGTTGCCAAAAGATCAGTAGACTTCTTAACTCCGAGAAGTATACTCGAGAAGTTTACATAAAAAAAGGTTAGTTTTGCAATTGACCAAACTTTGAATTTATCGTAAGAAGTCTACTCGCAAAAGTAGACTTCTTTGAAAGTAGACTTCTTAGAGGTTAGTTTTGCAATTGACCAATGTTGACTTTTCAGAGTAGACTACAAAGAAGTCTACTTGGGTTAGTTTTGGGGTTGACCAAACATTGAATTAATTTTCGAGTAGACTTTGTTTGAAGTGTACTTATAAAGCAGACTTCAAACGAAGTCTACTCGGAAAAGTAGACTTCAAAGTCTACTCGGAAAAGTAGACTTCAAAGTCTACTCGGAAAAGTCAATATTGGTCAATTGCAAAACTAACCTCTAAAAAGTCTACTTTTGCAAGTAGACTCCTTACAAAAAAAAATTAAAGGTTGGTCAATTGCAAAGCTAACCCCTTTTTACGTAGACTTCAAAAGAAGTCTACACTATTTTTTTTTTCAAAAGAAATGGCGCAGACTTCAACCGAAGTCTATTGTCAGAAATTGGTACACACGGTCAATTGCAAAACTGTTGACCAGCAGAATTCCTAAGAAGTCTACTTTCATGGCACAGAACTGTAAACTCGCGAAAATTGACTGAAAAATCACCTACCAGTGATATTTAGCTTCTTCAACCACCAATTTCTTTGATTCTAGCCACCACCAAACAAGTCCAATCAATTTGTCAGACCAAAACACCAAATACTGTTGAAGCAATAAAAGCTTCAAATTTGTTGAAAATGGTGGTTGAGTGAATTGATGGTGATGGCATTTTTGTAAATAAGTGAGGAGGATGGGGATTGTTTGGTAAAATGAATTTCCGAAAGAAAAAAACAATAATCTAATGGCATTTTTGTGAATAAATAGAACTGATAAGGATATAAGTGAGAAAAAATGGTTAGTTTGAAAGTGGTAAAATGAAAAGTTATTTTAGCAATTGACTTTAATTTATAGATCATTTTTGCAAGATCCCTAATAAACTTTCATAGATTACAGAATCAAGTAAAATATTTCACATCATTAATATGTAAAGCCTTTGGACTTATAACAAACCTCATAATAATATAATTTTTTTATCTGATTTGAATGATCTTAAATCAGGAAACATTTTTTTCAATTTTTTTCCTCGTTTTTTGAATTTGAAAAAGAATTTTTTTTTTCCTTTTCAAGTTTCAGTTTTATTTCTACTTCATATTCTTCCGGTTCTTCATCTTCTACAACTCTTCTATATTTGTATTCTTCATCATCTCTGTCATTATTTTCTTCATTTTACCTTGTTTCTAATCGTATAATTTTTTTTATCATATTCTTCGTTTTTAATATATTTTTCATTAACTTTGTTCTTTATTCTTTCTCTTCTTTATCTTTCAATTCTTTTTCTTACTTGTCATCTCATTCAATTTATTATTTATCGTCGTCATTTTCTACAATTTTTTTCTTTCTATACCCACTCATTTTTTATCATCTGTATATTTTCTGACTTTTCTTCCTGCATTTTATTGTCTTCGTCTTTTTTTTTTCAATTATGATTCCTTTTCTTCTTTTTTTTAAAAAAAAATTATCTAACTTCTTTTTCTTCCTAGGTGATCTCTCGTGCTTGCACGAAATAATGATTTTACAAATATTTTTATATTTTGAGAATAAATTATATGATTTAAGTATTAATTCAAATTTTTAATTTCTGATTTCTAATTTGTTGATTTTATGTCGAAAAAAGAAAGAATACAATTAACATTTAAATGATTTTTATTTTGATTTAGTAGATTTTTTGATCGAGGAAATGAAATCCTTCCGAATGTGTTAAACTATTAAGTAATTATTATGAATTATAAACTAATTAATTGATACATATAGAACTTGTTAAACTGTTAAGTAATTATAATGAATTATATATTATGATGAAATTATTGCAATTATTTTTCGTGTCTTTTCCATTTTTTATTTTGTTTTCGACTTTTTTTATCTTTCAATTTTGTTTTATCTTACCTGACTTTTCCTTCTTCTTAATCTTCTTTTTCTTCTTTATCTATTTCTTTATCTAGACCAAGTGAGAGATTCTTCCTTTTCTTTTTCATCACCTTCGTATTCTTCCATATTTGATTCTTACAATTTGCTTTATCTCGTGTCTTCATCTTCTTTTTTTTTCTTTTAATTCTTCTTTTTCAGATTCATTATCTTCTTCTACCGTCTCAGGTTCACATCACCATTGGATACTGCAGCTGGAGAAAGAAGAAAACCATCTCCTTGAGTTTCCTAATCCATTAGAGGCATTGTTTCCATGCACGGAGGTTTCTTCAATGGTCTCCATTGGTTCTGCATCATCAAAATAGCACTTCTCATCAACTTGTGGAATATTCTCCTCAGCCATTGTTATTTATTAGAAGAACGGCATAGAAAAACACATATTAACATTACCAAAGAAAAGTCAAAGAAATCCAATTTTACAGATTGTTTTCATGATCAACAAATAGAATTACTCCAAATTCATTTAAACAACGAACATAGTGATTCGATCAATGTATCCTATACTGCTTCTTTCGGTCAAATCGAATAAACCACAATGAACACATTTGAGAACGAAATAATCTATCAAAATTTGATAATTTGGTTCCAAGATTTATAACAGGCATGTGAAGGAATCACTATTTGCAACAGAAAATAAGATTTGCATTATATTTCAAACTCAAGAGTCGAGATAAATCAACAACAACAAAAACTGGATTTTGATTATGACTTAGTTCAAAACTTAGCTCCATGTATCGAGAAAGCATAGAAAACCAGTGGAGAAGGAAACAGAGAGAAGATATCGATCTAAAAGGCTTGCCTAATTCATGGTCGGAACTTCCACATCTAGCTTTACATCCTAATCCCAGAGCATTATCATGAGTTCTATCACGGGTACCTAAACAAAAATCAAATGAATAAATTAATAAACAATCGACCAGAAATTAGAAACCAGCGATAACGATCTCTTGTTTTGCAGCCCGATAATGCTAAAAACATACACCGTTATAGAACCCCATACAAACGAATTCGCACACATCTGTCTAGAGACTGCGAAAAAACATCACAAATTAGTAAAAACTACACCACTCCCAAATTTAATAAAATCCAAATATGATTCTGAGATATATAAATACGCCACTCCCAAATTCTGCCCCAACCAAGTTTTATTAATTGCACCAGACTGACCATCTGCTAAACATGAGAGGATATGAGTTACAAATTACTAGACGAACATTATCTTACGCTATAAAACATCATTACTTGTAAGAGAAGTTAGATGAGCTAACAGAGAAAATATATAATCAGCATTCCTTTAGCAATAGCTCAGCTTTCGCAAGCTTTGGTCTCACTACTTAATAAAGTTGTTTGTTTTCAAATATTATTTCTTATAAGTTATATCAATTATAAGCAAAACACAACAGAATAAGAACGGCAAACAAATAAAAACATTATGATGCAACTTTAAGGGTAATAAACCTTTAGATTAGGAAATCAAGGGTAATTAAGGGAATCTTACCCTTTATCTTTGTTTTCTCTTTGTTTCCCTCCACTTTGTCCTGTAATCTTCATCGCTTTCTTTCACTCTGCCTTCCTCCTCATCATTATCCTATTTTTCTTTTCTTATTCAGCTTTTTGACTTTTTCCTTACATTCATCTCCAGTATAACCATCAAATCATTTTTTATATATTTGGTATCAAAATAGCACGGTAACAATATATGGTTTTTTAAATAAGCAAAAGTTCAAAAGATCCTAAACAAAAAATAGATAGGATATCATCTCGAATGAAAATAAATGAGCAAAAACCTGCACAATTCTTTTTTTAAAATTACTTTGTTCGTTGTCATGCTCTTCTTCCTTGCTGCCTTCTTCTTGCTTCTTCTTGTACAGTTTTCTTACTTGCTCCGAATTGGATACTTTTGATGATACGTCTGAAATTACACAAAGAACACCGCAAATGAAAGAGAATTCGAGACTGAGTTATACGACATAAACATGATCATTATATGATCTAAACGAATTCTTTATTAGAAGTACACATATGTTTTTTTGTGGTAAAAATGTTAAGTTTTATACCATTTTCGAATTTGTGACAGAATTACAGAGAAAACATAGAAACCAGAAAGACGAAAAACTAAAAAACAAGGTTTAATTACTCATGAAAATGAGAGAGTACAATAAACAACAAGCTATGCAATCATTGTAGCTGATCACGGATTCCCGAAGACGAAACACCGAATCCGAAAAACCAACCTTTGAATATTTGCACTTGCAATTCCTAAGAACTCGAGTCCTCATAGTAGTTGCCACGTGCTAACCGAAACAAAGCCAGCCCTCAAACCTCGCAGAAAACAGTGCCTACAGCTTCTCCGAAGAAGAGCACAAAAACGAAAAAACGCTACAACCCACATAACCACAAACCGACGACTTTGGGAGCCTCCTTGGCCAGCCAGGCAAGTCGCCTCTAGCTGCCATTCCCGGGCTTCAGAAGCAGCAAGAATCAGCTCCCACATAAAGAAGTTAGTCGTCTAGCAAAATTTTCTGCCTCTATTCAAAACCAAGTCCCCACCAAAAGCTAACAACGAGGCCATCACTCACAGAGAATTGAAACTCTACAAGAAACCGCAGAGTAGCTACGGAATGCAAACAACAAGGAGAGGAGCTCTGAATAACCAAATCCGCTGATGAAGCCTCACCACCAGCCGTCACCGGGGCAGCCCAAACCAAGCAAAGGCCTCCGTCCAAACTACAGCCTGCCGGGGGCAGACGCGCCGGAACAGCCACTCGATACTCTTTACCGTAGAGCATACAAAAACCACCGGGGAAGAAAAGAGCAGCCGTCGTAGGGACCAGATGCAGAGGAGATGGAGAAGAAGTGAGGAGAAGGAAGGGTTAATCCTCACGACCCATTCTAAACTAGGCACCCAAACTCGTCTCAAAAAAAAAAAACTGCCATTGCTACAGAGCCACTCGAGGCCACAGACCTAAACCGGCGTCACTGAACACACCACACCACACGCTCCCGGAACAAGACACTTGAAACCTCCCCAAGAAGCCGTCCTCGAGCAAGCAAGGAAGGAGAAGAAAGAGTTCGACCCGCAAGACGAGACGAAGGAGACGGAGGAGCACGCCAGAGCCTCCAACACACAGAGGAAGAGAAGCAGATCTACAGCGAAGGCAAAGGGGAAAACTATCGAGACAGCCGTAAAATGAAAGAGCAAGAAAAGGGGGTCCCTCCCACGGTGGCGGTGAGAAGCACCACCGGCCGGATAAGGAGATCAGAAGGGAAAAAGTTGTTGACAGAGAAACCAAAGAAAGTTTTTTTAAATCACAGCTCAAAGGTTTTTAGGAGAAAGAAGAAATGAAATCTCTACATATATGTTTTGTCTTGCTCTGAGGACAAACACGGTGTGTTATTACAACGGTGACTCCCGTCTCCACCTAAAAACTGGCCTCCAACAAAATCCGTTTCTTAAACATCATGCAAAATAGCCATCGTCGACCTGTCAAAGTTTAGTCCCCTGTTCACATAAGGTAATCATTGCATGCAATCCTCCGCTTCAACGTTACTATCGTCCATTGCTCGTAGTCTCCTAGGAAGATCTCGGAAAATAGCTAGTAAACTTCAAAACCACACTTAACATGAATTTAAAATCAAATATTCTTCTTACCCCGGTGCTGTTATCTCCCTTACCGAACAAATGCAAATAAACCTTTCCTTTTCCAACAAAGCTTTCGCTGTTAATGTCATGAATCTTCATTAGATCTAATAAAACCCTAACTTTGAAAGAGCTTAGAGATGTAAAGAGGAGGTTAAAAAGAGACGTGCGGCTAGATTTAGATGGATTGAAGAACACTGCTCTAATATATATATATATATATATAGACTTTAAGAAGGAATTAAAGATTTAGGGTTTTGCTTGTAGCGGCCAAGTCAATTAGGTTTAGCCGTAAACAAATAATACATTATGATGATCGAGTTAAAAAAATAATTAGGGCTTTTCAATTTTATGTTATCTCGAAAATTATAACTAAATCGGAAAATATATTAAAACTCGGAAGATATTACAATAAATTAGCGATTTCTTCATTAAAGATACTTAGATAATGTTTAGTAAGATTGAATGAGAGAGCTACATTCCTCAAAATCACTTCATAAATAAATATTTAGATTAATTCAACCTAGCTATGATTACTACACTCATCAATATCTAAAACCTTCGCTACCCCTCCATACGTTACTTTCGTTACCAATATAAATAGTCCCTTATAGATCCCAAACCATCACAAATACTACTCGAAACACAGAAAAAGCTACAAACCTCCCAAAATTATTCGAAACATGTCTCACACTGACATCGTCGCAATTCCAGCCACTGCCAACTATGTCACCTTTGATAACCTCCGTCTTGGTCGCTCCACTCAGCAGGTTGTGGATCGACTTATCCGCTTCTGGGATGCTTGCAACATCAAAAAGAATGGTGAATTCATGGGAATCGTCCTTCTTGTCCTAGATGAGAAAGTATATAACTCAGCGATCACTAAAATATAACTCAGCCATCCCAAAAATATAACTTAGCCATCACAAAAATATAACACATCCATCACAAAATATAACTCAGCAACTGTATGTAAACTAACTCAGACATTATTAAAAACATAACTCAGCCATTAACTATCATAACACAGCCAAAACCTTACCTCACCATACGTTCTGATATCTTTAGCAACGGTCGTTTCCATTATTGAACGTGTACGGTTTCCGCCCCATCGAAACAACAATATCTCATCATTATTGACTATGTTCCCAAATCGCTCTCAAAAGCATTTGACTGAATCATATGCCCAATCCTGTAACACGTAAACCATACCACTAATGGTGTACGACTTTCCTATATGCCTCAACATATTTATAGCATCAATAAGAGTTTCAAATGCTGACCAACCCCATGGATAAGTCTTCATGGCTTCATCATCAAAAACTCTTTTTGCACTTTCGAATGGTATTCTAGAATTTTATGCAATACATATATACCAATGGCTTGAAGAAGCAACAGCCCCAACCATTTACGCTTTTGAGGAGGCAATGTCCGGCACGCTGATAATCCTGCCCTCGGTTCATCTAACTTTGGTCTTTCCCCACCAGGCACATTCAATTCTCTGAAGAACGTTTTGTAGTCAGCTTCAGGTTCAAACATCTATGTAGGCATTGGATCTGTGTTTAAACTTGTGATATGACCAAACTCATTCAAGCCAAACCTGATAGTTTGACCACGTGAATTGGCTGTAAGATAGCTTAGAAACTATTCCAATAGGTAACTCCTTCATTTGATCCCATGCATCTTGACCTATTGATTCTCTAATCCCAGGGAGATCTGCCATCTTAAAATTGTGATTAATGGATCTATTCTCCAGATTAGACTCCCCTTCTGCGTAAAGTCTTGGAGGGTAATCCCTTGCTTGTTCTTCAGAAATAACCTTAGCCATCTGATAAGAAAGTTAAATCAGCGAGAGTATAAATCATAACTCAGCCACACCATAAAACAAACTCAGCCACAAATGCATTGATAAACCGTAAATCAGCCGTAAAGCAAACTGTAACTCGGTCGAAACATAAAACAAACTCAGCCACAAATGCATTGATAAACCAGACACCAAATCGAATAGATCTAACAAATCAGCCACCATATATAAATCAACGACAGCGAAAATCAGCCGTAATAAGCATCGATAAAAACCATTAATATCACAGCTATAGTTTTCGGAAAACGTTTTAAATCACGGGAATCACTTGCAATTAAACGATTTAAACTAAAAAAAGATTTGAACTTATCAGAGCAAGTTTGTTCGCAAAAAAAGAGAGATTTTTAGCAATGGAAAATGACGAGTCCACTCTCCCACTCGAGTTCGTGAAAAATGAGACGAAATGCGACGGAGATAAGAGAAGCGGCCAGAAGAGACGATATGACGGCAGAACTAGGGTTCGACTTCAGAATCGCCGAGATAGAGAGAGACAAAGATATTTTTTTTTCTGTAACAAAAGAGAACGATTCAGTTTCCTTCGCTTTTGATCATTAATGACATAAGTGTTGTTAATGACTTAGATTTATTTTTTTATCTTAATGACATGGATTAAACTAATTTTTTGTTAATAATTTTTTAATTAAAAAATTGCAAATTATTCAAGAGTGTTAATTGTAATTACACAATAGCACAAAATATCTGAGTAATTTTTAGAAAATGTATAATATGTTAGTAGTATTCCAACTTTTCTGTAACATCTGAAGAATTATTTCTAAAATAAATCAGTAATCGAAACATTCCTATCATAAATTATGAGCTCAAAAGATCATAGAGCTTTGGTTGCTAAAAAATGCGCATATAATTAATAGGATCACATACTGTCATACAAATCACTTGTACTAACTTGATCATTAGAGGGGTTATATACTCATGACGTCTTAAATTTCGCTCTTGCCAAACTGCGTATAATATAAGAATTTACATAAAACAAGAGAAGATAGCAGGTGGTCTCAAAATCAATGTTGGGCGTAGGCGTAGCAGAATCGAAAAGAAAAAAATAACGAATTATCTTGCATAAATCCATCTAGAAAAATATGCAACTTTCTAAATAACAAACACTTCGTTTATTAATTCATTACTGTCTTTTTACCTGCTTTCTTAATTTCTTTTTTTCGTAACATACCCTTTCAAACCATCATTTGTCCTGACTTTATTCTTATCTAACAGGTTTGTACTGATGCATGGTTTATTTATAACACAACTTTTTTTATTCAAAACTCTTTGTCCTATTGATATCAATTTAAAATAGATTATATCATAAAAGAGATTAGACAAATAAAATACCGAAATAAACCAACAATCTTTATGGCACATAAAACAAGTTTTTTATGCACATTGGCGATACAAATACAATCTTGTTTCGACTATTTTGAAGGTCATTAGAATGAGTTCTCTTACCACAATAGCAGACAAACATCTTATTCTTTTTGTGACAACATAAAAAAAAATACTCATGAGTTAGATACTTTTCATACTTTGGTTATTTTTGTCAATTTTATTTTGCAAAAGTTAACTTCGGTAACGCCCACTATTAGAACTGCCGAACAAAGTGGAACTGTGAAATGCAAACCAGATATTTGTATAAACAAAATTGACTAGAAACTAAACATCTTTAACAACTATAAATCATCTACGAGCAAATAAACTACAGAAATAAAACTTCTTCTTAAAAAGTGAAAAAACAAACTCAAACAAAAAACAAACACAAAGTCACAAAAACTGAGCCACGCCAACTAGCATATCCAAAAACTATAAGAACGAAAGCCATAGAAAAAGAACATCCAAACCCTCAGATGTAAGCTTTTTATCCTTCTCACGATGTTGGCAAAGAACGCCGGACATCGGAGAGGTAGAATATGCATATCTTTATTTTTTCCTCTATCATTTTATTTTTGATGTAGCAAAATTTTTTTTTTTAATTAAATATAAAAATATTTATTAAAAAATCATTACTCTCCAGTGTATTAAAAACTTTTTTTAATCTTATGTAAACAATAGTTTCTATAAAAGTCTTATATTAATAGTGTTTTCTACCAAAGTCTTATTTTATACCAGATATATGTATATACCAACTTGACTAGAAACTAAACATCTTTAACAACTATAAATCATCTACTAGCAAATAAACTACACAATTAAAATTTCTTCTTAAGTAGTGAAATTTGTTCTCTTTAATTAAATAAAAAATCTATATTAAGGAATCATAACTCCGCAGTGTATTAAAA